AAAAAAAAAAAACAGAGTATTGCAGGCAGAGGAAAGAACACTTGCAAAGGCCCTGGAGTTGGAAAGAGTGGAAAGAGCTCACCATGTACATTTTATGATGTGAGTAGGTGAAAGGAGGCCGTGCTTGATTGGCAGAGGTTATGATATCAGAACTTGGGCACGTAGACGTTCTGAAGGGATGTAGTATTCTTCCTTGGAGGACCTCAGTACTCCAGCTTCGATACAGAAATCCCCTTGCAAGTGGTTCTGTGTGGCATCCCTAAAGTTGGATTCTGACAAGGGCCAGACATTTCTGTGCCCTGAGAGAAGGACCTCAGCTTGGTGGATCTTCCAGCACAGGCTCCATTGACTAACCCAGCCTTTGGTTCCCTGCTGGGAAGCGTCAAGCGTGGAGACAGTTACGGAAACTAGGAAGCCCTTTTTCATGTTTGCCTCGTGATGAGAGGAAGAGATGAGATTGTTGCTTTTTCATATCTCTCCCGTGGACTCTTAAAATTAACTTCACTGTCAAAATTTCCCATGGCCCAAATGTAGGTTTGGGGAGAGAAACGTTAAGACTTTGAAGTTGAGAAAGAAAGTAGAGAAAGCCTTCTCTAGACAAATGCTCACCCTGCAGATGTCAGACTCTGTGAGGAGACAAGTAAAAAGGCACTCGGGGAACCGAGTGCAAAGAGTGGAAAGAGCTCACCATGTACATTTTATGATGTGAGTAGGCGAAAGGAGGCTGTGCTTCCTTTTAGAGAGAAAAGGAAGAACTGGGAGTAGAGATGGCTACTTCAGCTCGGGAAAAGAATAAATAAAACAATACAAGGTAGTGTTAAAGCTTTGAAAGGAATTTTTTCATTTAGGAGAGATTATGAATAATGAAATGCAAACACTCTAGTTAATATGTCTGTTCGCTGGTTTCTGTTGCCTTCTGGAAAACGAGTGATATGTTCTAAGAGGAGCCGCTTTGCAAGTTATCCCACTTGACCCTCGTTAGGGTGAGCTCTGAGTCTGTACCCAGATTCCTTTACCAAACACTGGTTATTAGACACTGGATGCAAAGCCGTATTTATTCCAAGGCCAGAAGCTTCCTAAGCCTCTGCCTAACTCTTCACAAATGAACCTGACAACACTGAAATTTCTAAGGAGATTTACTTCCAGCTGTAGCAAATCCCTCATAATAAAAAATTTCCCCAAATGAGTCAGTCACACAGGAGGTAAATGAGACATTCTATGAAGTCAGCATGCCATTTGGAGTGTGCCCTTTATGTAAAAGGCCCAGCCAGAAGACCATGTGGTTAAGTGGAGCTTGTCCACAGGGCAGAACCAGAACACCGGAGGGGGGAGGCTGTCAGCTGCCGGATTGTAACTCCATGTCACTTCCCCTCAAGCAAATCTTGTAGGAAAATCTAGTTTTTCAAAGAAGTTCAAGTAAGGTTTGCTGATTATTTCCTTCACCAAAGGATTTACCCGAGGGGTCCTTTAACCAACAAGCTCAGAGAAAAACTTTATAGTATTACTGGATTATATGAAACTTTTTCAAAAATGCATCCCTTCTGTGTGTGTATGTGTAGCTATGTAAGCAGGTATTTGGTGCAGGCAGCATTACAAGAAGGGATTTGGGGCGGTCTATATCCGTTGAGTAAATTGAGGCAAGCTTGCAACAGTGGCATTTGTTGGGCAGCCCTGCTCATTGCTGATTCTGTTAATCTCCTAAATGACTCCATGGGTGATTAGGCAACCAGATAAACCCTCTCACTTCTGAGGAACAAGGCCGTGGGACGTCAGGGCCTCTCTTTGTCTTTCCTAGAGAAATTGGCAACACGAAGGCTGGAACTACCTGGTGGTCCTTTTTAAAAAAAGTTTAAAAAATTATTTATTGAGCGTGGGTCACGTCCCTGGCACTGTTCTGGGTGTCCTGACCTACTTTGTCTCACTTAGTCCTCACTGCAGCTCTGTGACATGGATGATGATGATGGTGATGATGATGAACTTACTTCTACATCTGCTAACTCATCAGAGCTGGATTCTTTTACAAAGAAGAAAGTAAAAATCACTGATTATCCCACCACCCATGTGTCTTGCCATTGTTAATATTTTAGTAGATAGTCTTTCAGATGTCCTCTGTATGTTTATGTAAGAAAATATATGTATACCTTTTAAAACATACTTTTTAAAAATCTCCTTTTTAAAAAGTTAACAGTATAGCATGACCATTTTTCCATAAAAATAAAAAAATCTAGACCTGCAGACTATTGATTGTAGCAACAGAGTATTCCATTTTATAAATATCCCAACTGGATTTACCCTCCCTCTAGGCTGGGCTTTGAAACTATTTATAAGCAAAATATCCTCCCACTTTTTATATTTTTTCAAAATATATGCACAAAGATGCATATGCATCTTTGCACAATTGTCTGATTATTTTCTTAGCAAAAATTCCTAGCAGTAGGATTGCTGGATTAATGGCTATGTACATATTAAGTTTTGTTGCATTTCGCCAAAATGCCTTCCAAAATGTTTGAACAGATTTCCATTCCTGCTGATACTGCCCCTCTGCTCATTCGTTCCATCTCTTAGACAGGGTCGCTTCTCTCTGTGACTCAGCCTCCTTGCTTTTGAAATGGGTGTGAGAATACAACAAATCACAGTTTTAGTACACACTGAGTACCAGACTATGTACTAACACTTTATGTAGATTAGATTTTGTTATTTAAGTCTCACCCCCAACCCTAGGAGAAGATTGGAATATCTCTACTTTATTCTTCCTGCCACCCCCATTTCTGAGGCTCAGAAAGGTTCAGTAACTTGCCTGAGGTCACCCAGCTAAAAAGTGGCCAAGCTGGGGTACAAGCCCAGCTCTGCCTGCTTCTGGGACTGGGACTCTTGCCCCAGGGCTCTGCATTTCTTAGTCCAGATGAGTTGTCTGATTAACGAACATGGGTGGCAGAGCCTCTCAAACTTCGTGCGCATTGCCAGGGCATGACCATTGCTCACAGGAATGTGTCTGTCCAGCAGAGTTTGCCTCAGTGTGAAAGTAGCAAGGAAGGGTTTTAAAGAAGATTTGGGGAGTTTCCCCTGAGAACTAAGCATCTTTTCACTTTTGTTTTGGAAATGAGAAAGCACGTTTTCAAAGTCAGCACCATCTCCCACGCTGAAATCACAGACCTAAACAGATTCCCCGACGTTCACAGCCTTCTCGATCTGTGACCATCTCTCCATTTCTCCCTGGGGAGGTGAAACTGCCTTTTTGACTTCTCCAAATTCTAAGGAGCTTCAGCGGTTCTTTTTACAGTGTGGGAGTCCAGCCCTGTGGGGTCTAAGAATGAATTAATCCTGGTCCACTCCTTCTTATACTTCCTTGGCTAAGTAACATGGCTCCTGGGGCTGAAGTGAGGCCTCGGGCCTCCCTAGCTCACACCAGCCCCTCCTGCAGGCATCCTGCAACCTCAAATACCTGTGTGTGACGGGAACCATTGGCAGGCACATCCCAGAGAAGGGTACATTCCTAGCCCTCTCTTACCCGCAAGGAAGGGATTTCTTAAGTGTTGCTTTAACAGGTTGATGCAAAATATACAAACAGAAAGGGACGGAGAGGGAGATGGATGGTTTTCAGTAAATGATGGTGCGTCGGCCAGCAGTTGGAAGGGAGCTGGTGGGGAGGAAGTTTCCCACCTCAGCAGTTGTGACAGGAGTATTAACTGGGATCCCAGAAAGCAAGCACAAACACACCACAGTGAGGACTGCCAGAGCACATACCGGGGCTGGAAAATGTGTGTCTGTCAAGATAAAATGGTACATTACGTTTGCACTGTCCCATGGACCAAGCTAAGGGTCTCTGAGGTGCTTTCTCCCCAGCCCTGGCCAGTTTGACTCGGCCTGAAACGAGCACAGGCTTCAGGAAGGCAGCCTGCCCTGCCTCTCACTGAGGCTAATAGTTGTGTGCACGTACACAATGCTTACCCCTGCTTTTAGAGAAAGGTTTTTATTGCCTTATCTAATATGAGGCTGATTTCTTTTAAGAACACATGTTGACTAGAGGCTGCTGATGTGAACCTCACACTTCAGGAGGTCAGCGCCCCACGGTGGGGAGTCTTTGTCACTAACAATTAAAGAAGGGATGGCCCAGGGGATAATTGAAACAGGGGGCTGGAGGGAGATGGGGAAATAAATAAATATCTCTGAAACATCCCCGGTGTGCCTGGCACAGTGCCTAACCCCTTACATATATTTTTTTTTGCATTCCACCTCTTTCCCAACCTTGTAGAGTGGATTTTATTTTATTATTTTATTTTTTTTGAGATGGAGTCTCGCTCTGTCACCCAGGCTGCAGTGCAGTGGCACTATCTCAGCTCACTGCAACCTCCACCTCCCAGGTTCAAGCAAATCTCCTGCCTCGGCCTCCCTAGGAGCTTGAACTATAGGCTCACACCACCATGCCCAGCTTATTTTTGTATTTTTAGTAGAGACGGGGTTTCAACATGTCGGCCAGGCTAGTCTCGAGCTCCTGACCTCAGAGGGTCCACCCTCCTTGGCCTCCCAGAGTGCTGGGATTACAAGCATGAGCCACCTTGCCCAGCCCCCTGGAATATTTTTATCCTCATTTTACAGATGAAGAAATTGATGCTCAAAGGGATTCAGCTACTTGCAATGTCACAGAGCTAAGAAGGTGAGACTAAAATTCTGAGAGAGCATAATGGAAATAAAAATGGTGCTATTGAAGGAATAAAAAAGTGTGTTTTGTGATATTTGATAGAATGATGCTACTGCTCTTACGTGGGCAAGAGATAAGGCCTTCCAGCCATGTGCTTATTCACTCTGTGGCTTTCACCCAGCATAACAACTTCCAGTATCTCTGTTTGCCAGTCTGTACAAGCAGACATAAGTGCCCTTCCCTTACCATCTGAAACACCTGAACGTCTGTAACTGAATAGAGGGACATAAGGGGGAGCAACCCAGTGGTCCTTCTCATGTCCTTCGAGTGATCTCTTCTTGTCTGTGCCATCCCTACCCAGGTATGACTTTATCGAGATTCGGGATGGGGATAGCGAATCTGCAGACCTCCTGGGCAAGCACTGTGGGAACATCGCCCCACCCACCATCATCTCCTCGGGCTCCATGCTCTACATCAAGTTCACCTCTGACTACGCCCGGCAGGGGGCAGGCTTCTCTCTGCGCTATGAGATCTTCAAGACAGGTCAGTGTGGTCACACATAGGGGCCGGGAGATGGGCGTCTTAGAGAAGAAGGAGGGACAGCACCCAATGGGCCGAGGCAGTGGGTAAGGGTGCCAGTGTCATCCAGCTTGAACATGGTGAGAGGTTCAAGGGGAACCCAGGGACATCCTGAGAAGAAGAGCCAGCTCAGGTAATCTACCAGCTGAAGCGGGCTGGCTAGAGCTGTGATGGGAGCGGAGCACAGCAGCCCTTGTCTGTGGTATTGGCACCAGACAAATAGAAAACCATTTCTTGAAAGCATCGGATTTTTGTGTGTTTTTTTAAAAGCAAAATAATCTTCATGGGAAAAAGCAAAACTCTGATGACTTCCTCACCATTACTGCATGGTCTAATGTTGCCTTTATTTGGGACTACATGGAGCTGAGGACAGAATCTTTTTGTTGTTTAGAGTCTCTAAATATCTTGCCATGACCTCCCAGATGGGGTCACACCATAGCTTTTCAATTAAAATAAGGCTCCTAGAAATTCCCCTTGGCAGTCCATGCTACCACCTCTGCATTGAACCCCTACTCTCTAAATGCCAATGAACTTGACTCCCTGAAAAGCAGTCAAAAAGAGAGCAGAAAAAGAGGCGGAAGGCACTGCACTTGCTTTAGGTTGACGGATTTCCATCAGGTCCCCCTTAGATTACTTTAGGCCCTGAGACTATGGGCCAGCACTCATTTCCAAAACTAATACAGTAGGCTTTTATTCGCAAGACCCTACTTCATCAGCTACACTCAAGCTCTCCTCGTGGTATGTCCTCTTCTGTGATATGTAGAGCTTGTTATTTTGAGGCTGAGGGAAGCACGTCTTCCAGTCCTCCCCACCCGCCGCCCACTCCCCTCCTCAGAGGCTCCCCTTCCATCTATGCCTGTGTCTCCCTTCTCCCTTCAGCAGCCCAAGTTTTACAACTCGTGGATGGAGTCTGGTTCGAGGGGAGGCTGTCAGCCTTGTCATCAAGAGGCCCAAGACCGGCGCCTGTTGAGTTCAGTGTGAGGGGAGCTATTCATATATCTTTTCGTTTTCACTAAACAGTTCTTGAAAGGAAGTGGTAGCCGCTGAAAGCACTTTTTATATCCACTCTGTCTAAATATTTGTCGGATCTGTCTGCCCGAGAACAAGAACGTGGAATCAAATGGAGGGGTGGGGCCAAAGGCACTGTGTCAGGCAAGAGTGGCAGCCCAGGCTGTTGCAGGGCACAGGTCCCAAGAAGGTCTGTCTGCCTTGGGTTTTCATGCTCCTGACTACGACGAGGTCATAGGGGCTGACAATCTGTGTGTCCAGTGGCTTAAGCTGTTGTGAGGCCCCTGAGTAGCTTGATCCATATTCCCCTGAGTCTGGTGCAAAATTCAGATCACTGCCACCAGCACCGGTGGATCATCCTCTGCTGCTGAGCAGTGGGGAGAATAAAAGAGAAAGAAAGAAAACAGGCTGCTTGCTGTGTTCGGGTTGGAGAGGCAAGTGTGGCAAACCCTTAGCACATAACCAATATATAGGCGATGTTATTGGATGAGTATGTATGTAAACTGAAAGGAAAACTATGATATGAGGCAGAATGAATAAGTGCAAAGTCAAGGTATGATTGGCATGTGGCGGTTATGAAAAGAGGGAGAGTCGAGTGGCTTAGCAATCAAGGGGCTCCAGAGACTCTGTTCAATGGCAAGGTCCCTAGTGCTAATGCTGCCACTTGGCTGCCCTGTGCTGACCATGAAAGGAAGACAGCTCCAGGCAGAATCTTCCAGGACACTGGCCAAGGGAAGTCAAAACAAGGGTGAGCAGAGCTGTGAAAGCTCAGCCTTGGTCTCACACCACCCAACTTAGTATTTCATAAGACATAATGCTACATTCTCCAGAATGCCACAGGACAAGTCAATGTTCACTCTACCCATCATGCACATTTGAAAAGAGGATATTAAAAGATAAAACACATAAGAGGGTGTCGTAATTCAGTGTTGCTGTCTTAAGGACATGCTGAAGCAGGATCTCAAATGAAGCGGCAAGTCTGTGAACCGCTTAGAAACAATGGTGACAGCCAAGGGAGCTAGGTGGCTTCGGCTTGGAGAAATGGAATAGCCTGCTCTAAGGATTGGGGTTGCCTAGTGAAGAGATTGTGAGACACAGCCTTGCCAACAACAGCCACACTCCTGGCAATGTGCGAGAGCAAATGAGAGCACAGCAGCCTTCTCAGGGCCACTCGAACCTATCGTCAGACCCACCTGCTGCTGGAAGAGCAACTCTCCGCGTGAAAGTCAATCTTACATATGCCAGATGTGGTGGCTTAGACCTGTAATCCCAGCACTTTGGGAGGCTGAGGCAGGTGGATCACCTGAGGTCAGGAGTTTGAGACCAGCCTAGCCAACATGGCAAAACCCTATCTCTACTAAAAATACAAAAATTAGCCAGGTGTGGTGGGACGCACCTGTAATCCCAGCTACTTGGGAGGCTGAGGCAGAGGAATCGCTTGAACCCAGGAGGCAGAGGTTGCAATGAACCGAGATCATGCCATTGCACACTAGCCTGGGCAACGAGAGTGAAACTCAGTTAAAAAAAAAAAAAAGCCTTATAGAAAGCACAGAAATGTGCAAGGGTGCAAAATTCAAAACAGAGAAGTTTAGAAAAATGAGCATTCATGCAGGTGCCATGTCCTATACCCATATTTCCATTGTTGGAGTCAGGAGAGAAAATATACAAAGTTTACGTCATCTACAGAACATGAAAGAAATGGGTGGACATGCTGAAGAAATCCAAACACAGCTATGTTTGCTAGTGGGATTCATACAGAGGAAGAAGCGGGGGAAACTGTAAACACAGATACACTGCTAGTAGCCATACAGAGGTCTCTAGAAACCTTCGGTGGCACAATACCCTGGTGAGGCTCTGCTGCAGGACCCACAGTGTGAGTGCAGACCAGGGCATGCGGCTGGCGTGGAAGGTTCATGTCTGCCCTAAGTGAAGTGGCATATTAAACATTCTATATGTTACCAGACTGTCTGCATTTAAAAGGGTAAGCCAGAACAACTCACAAACTTAAAAGATCCCAAATCAAGATATCCTGAGCAGAACAGAAAAAGGAAAAAAAAAAATTAACATAAAATGTCACATTGAAAACAAAATCAGTGGAAAATGTGTGTGTGTTTGGGTTTTTTCCTGAAGCTCCTTTAACCATAAGTTCAAGATCAGGTTTACTTTCCTGTTTGCCCGTGACACTTTAGAAACTGAAATTTCTGGGTCATTCACAGAGGTAGAGAAAACCCTGAGTGCGTACTGCCTCTACTTCCTGAATTTAGGAACTGAATTCACCTTCTGTGGGGAAGGCAAACTCAGCTCCAGGCAAATCCATTGTGTTTTAAATGTCTTGATACCTGCAGATTCTTCTACTTGCAGAGTTATTGTAAAATTCACAGCAGGAAAACAGAGTGGGCATTTTTCGTAGCAGAGTCCTTTCCTATGAAATCACTCACCGCAACTCAAATCCCCCAGCTTCTGCGGACAATCTTAACACTGAGTGGGCTTGCGTATTTGTTGACTTGAGTTCTTCTTTTAACCTTTAAACCTTCTAACACATCTCAGAAAAGGATTTTGGATTAGGCAGCTTCTGCCCCCTTTTCTGAGATCTCTTCTCCGCACTTGCCATCCAGCTGCTTTTGTAATGCTGCCAACAGTGAGATGGTGCGATTAGAGATGAATGCATGATGTTAAGAGACAGGTGTGATTTTTCTGCATAAAAATAGATAAAACTGGACAAAAGTTTTCCCACCTCCTTCAAAATAAGCCATAGGATATACCCATTTATAGCCATATATCAGAAACGCTTTTTTTTTTTTTTTTTTTTTTTTGCTTTAAGTACCTAAGGATGAAATTTTCTTTTCAGTGAGATGCAGGAGCTCAGGACCCGGGAACTATGGGTACTTTAGAATTTCACATTCTCCAGGCCTCTCTTAGACTCACTAGATGGCCATCGTGGAAGCACTCATGCCCCACCAATGACAGGGACCAAAGAAAGATTCCACCAGAAAATTCCCCACTCCCAGGGGGTGGAGATTTCCCTTGCCTTCAAAGGGAATGACAATAGAGCAAGCTCTAAGACAGCATGTCAGGAGGCTCTTTCTAGCTCTCAAGCAAGAAGTGAATAGAGAGTTAATTTCCTCCCAACTATGTGTGAGGCTCAGCTGAGTGGCCCACATGAAGAATGCTGCACAGCAGCCATAAACTCTAACCTTTTCAAAATTCCTCTTGGCCCCCTGAAGACCTGCCAGCTGGTTTGGCTTTGCTGAATTGCCTCATCCCGGGCCATTGAGGAGGCCCTCAGGAGTCTGAAGCCCAATCGTAAACAAAGCTGGGGGAGGCGGCCCCAGCTCATCCCTCCAGGACTAGCTGCCCATTGAAAACTCTGGGCCTGCCCTGCTGCTGCCATGCATATGAATGATGGGGTGCAGAGCCTCTGAGAGCGGCTGCTTAGAGCCTCCACAGAACCCATGCAGATGTTAGCCCTCACCCTCATGTGTTCCTAGTTCCTACCCTGTCAAGGCACAGCACAAGGTGGAAAGTAGGAAGTGATGGATGGATAGGTAGGAGATAGCGGAATTTTCTGTCTGGTGTTAAAGAAAGTTGCAAGTTCTCCATCCCCACTTATTTGCATGGCACTTCTTCCAAATCAGACATTTGCCTCTTTTCAGAAAGCTGTCATCAATAAAGAGACTCAAAGAGAGGCCTCCTCCAATGTGGATAAAGACATTGCTGCAGGCTAAGATCAGTGTATTGACATCACCTAGTTATATTTCAGTGTGAACCCCAGAGGACACTTCCTGCCAGTAAACACCTAGTTTATCGAGTATTTCTTGTTTTTTTTTTGTTTTGTTTTCTTTTTAATGCTTAGAATGTCTATTATCCTCCTCAAACATCCTGCCTTCTTTTCTAATTTTAAAATCAGAACATAATGAGTGAAATCAATTCTAATTGTCCAGCATTTTCATTCATTGCGTGAACGTGTATGAGCTCGTGCTCCGTGGGTCCATGGGTCTGGGCTGCAGTGCTCCTGGGAGCCATCTGTGGTGCTGCCCTGGCAAATGGTGGCTGGGTTAAAGCACAAGAGCCCTTTTAATATGACTCCACCTATAGGCATTAAGAGATAGGGTGGCTGTAATCCTCTTAGGAGCTCCTGCTCCTGCTTCTGCTGCCATCCAAGCTTGCACCAGCATGCAAATGTGTGCCGCATTTAATCAGGATCCTTCCGTGCGTCCCAAGAAAGCAGACACAAGAGCTCAGGAGAAAAATAAGGCCATCCACACCACAAAGGAGCCAGAAGCCTTCCAAATGTCAATGCACTGCTGCATTTTTCCAAACTTGTTGCCGGAGCGGCCTTTAACATCCCCAACGGCCTGCTGTGATCCACCAGCTAAAAACGTCGATTGTTAATTGTCCGACCACTACAGAGCAGCTCGTTTTAATACAGTCATGACATGAATGAGACCCAAGCTCCCCTTTGCCCCTCCCCTGAGGCACCTTGGATCTTGGAAGGAGAAGGGGGCACTTGGTTGGCTGTGGGACAATAGGGGCTAGTGTTGAGGTCAGCAATAAATAAGGGGTAACATTGTTTTCCCTGCTGGCAATCAGCAAGCCTTCCTTAAGGATTGAAATAACTTACATTTCTGGAGCGAGCAGCTGAGTAATTGAGAAAGAAGACTCTGTTCCTCTTTTCAAGAGAATCCTTCCCCCTTTTCTCTCTCTCTCACACACTCACACACACTCACACACACACACATACACACTTCTCTCTACTCTAACCCCACCCCCCAATTCCTCAATTGCTGCTCTCACTCTCATATGTAGAGCAAGCCAGCTGTGCCTCCCTAATTTCTGAGGGCTTGAAACATGCCTGTGAAGAGTATATTGCTTCAAGGACCACTCCAGAGGCAACAAAAAGAGGTCCTCAAGAGTTTGGGCCCAAATATTTAAATAACCTATGTGACAGAGGCTGCTAGGAAAGGCGTCTTCTTCTTAGTGCTACAGTTCTCTTTTACATACAGGCTCTGAAGATTGCTCAAAAAACTTCACAAGCCCCAACGGGACCATCGAATCCCCTGGGTTTCCTGACAAGTATCCACACAACGTGGACTGCACCTTTACCATCCTGGCCAAACCCAAGATGGAGATCATCCTGCAGTTCCTGCTCTTTGACCTGGAGCATGACCCTTTGCAGGTGGGAGAGGGGGACTGCAAGTACGACTGGCTGGACATCTGGGATGGCATTCCACATGGTGAGTGATGTCATGAGGCATTCCTCAGTAGCTTGGCCTTTGCCTGTTAATTGCTTTAGTGATGATAAAGAGGAAGAACAAAGACTTCAAAGCTCCTGTGAGTTCTTACATGACCCATGACGACTTTCTCTTCTCCTTCACCAAGGCTGGCTTGAGAGAAATTACATGAAGGCAGTCTACTTTCCTGGAAATATTTCTTTAGAAAAGGATAGGAGACTAAATAGCTACTTGGAAAGGATGAGAACACTTACAGATAGTGTTCATTTCTACTCCAAGTTGTCAGGCTAGAAAGCTGCTCAGTGGCTAACTCTTATGACCAAACAGAAGGACTCTAGAGCCAGACTGGCTGGGCTCTGCTATTCACCAGCTGTGCAACCTTGGACAAGTTACTTACCTTATCTATGTCTCACCTGTATAAAGTTAGCTGCTGTCATCATCATTATTACTACCATAATTTAAAAATTATTAATATAGTCATAAATATTGAAAAGGTACATTGCCCAAGGCCAAGAGCAACCAGTCCTTCTCAGATGAAGACCAACATAGATCTTGGGTCTAATCAGTATTGGAGAGGAATAAGCCTTTCACTTTTGTAGTCACTTTAAGTATTTTCCAGCATAAAGGAGACCTGATGCCTAAACAAGAAGAGCAGTTTTATTTGCTGGTTAAAGCATAAGACTGAGTCAGAAAACTTGGGTTGGAGGCCCAGCTCTGCTATTTCCTAGCAGTATGAATAAGGAAATCTCATGAGCTCTCCAAACTTGTTACTTCCTCCATAGAACGGACATTGTAATGATACCTTTCCAGCTCATCTTCCAGGGCACTGAGAACAGAACGAAATCAGTGATGGCGGCCTGTACCTTTTTAATTAAAAAGTGAAAGTGCTTTTTAATGTGCAAGAAAGATATTAGCCATTATTCTTAAAACATATCTTTGGTTTTTGTGGCAAGGTGTACAAGTGATGGTCCACTGAATAACACACGATGATGGGAAGGGAAAATAGAGGGAAAACCAAGTTTGACATTTTCATTTCCACTGACTTCTCTTTGTCTTTAATGTCCAGTTGGCCCACTGATTGGCAAGTACTGTGGGGCCAAAATACCCTCTGAACTTCGTTCATCGACGGGGATCCTCTCCCTGACCTTTCACACGGACATGGCGGTGGCCAGGGATGGCTTCTCTGCGCGTTACTACCTGGTCCATCAAGAGCCACTAGAGAGTGAGTTGGCCGGTTGGGAACCTCTGTCCTGTCCTTCCATCAGGGCTGTGAGGGTGCACAGGTGAAGAGAGGATGACCTCTATGAGAGAGGAGGTGGGAACTTTACAGTAGAGCTTATGGTGGCATCCAAGGCAGAGGTGCACATATCCTCTTGCCAGGAAGAGGTTGATGAGAAAAGAACACATGTCAATCTGGGTGCTTATTTCTTTAAAATGTGTGTGTGTGTGTGTGTGTGTGTGTGTGTGTGTGTGTGTGTGTGTGTGTTTATGTGTACCAAGAATTAGTTATTTTCAAGGAAAGTCATGGGACCATGAAAGAGAGGTTAGTTAGGATGATCTATACAGGGTCCCTCCTGTGTTAGCTTTTTTTCAGTCTGTGGCCATTTTTTCCCTCTCAAAATATCAGGGGGCACTGTCACAAAACTGAACCATTTTTTACATTAACCACCTCTGCGGCTGGGTAATGTTTTCCTGGTGAGATTGGTACAACTGCTTGGACCTGGACTTCACACTTCCACCAAAGATAGTTTGTGGAGCTGCTACCATGTGCCAGCCACTAAGCAAGGAATTAAAAACTCCGATTGCAGCTGCTGTGGGACTTGCAGTCTAAGCCATCAATCCCTCAGCACTAACATCTTTAAACCAGTGGCTCTTGGACATGTGTTTCAAATGTGCTGCCATTTCTACTTAGAAACCCAAACGATAACTTTTTTTTTTGAAATGGACTCTCTCTCTTTCGCCCAGGCTGGAGTGCAGTGGCACAAACTCGGCTCACTGCACTCTCTACCTCCCAGGTTTAAGCAATTCTTGTGTCTCAGTCTCCCAAGTAGCTGGAGCTACAGGCATGCACCACCATGCTTGGCTAATTTTTGTATTTTTAGCAGAGGTGGGGTTTTGCCACGTTGGGCAAGCTGGTCTCAAACTCCTGGCCTCAAATAATCTGACTGCCTCAGCCTCCCCAAATCCTGGGGTTATAGGTGTGAGCCACCATGCCCAGCCCCAAATGATAACTTTAAAGACTAAAGAAGCAGTTTTAAAAATGATTTGAGCTGTGGAAATCCTGCCCTGATTACAGACAATTCACCATATATAGAACTACAGACACAACAGCCTGGCCTGCAGGAAGGTTGCTGAGTTTTGCATTTGCATTTTCATCAAAGAGCTTCTGAAGATTGAGTGACAAAGAAACAGTATGGCAAATTGCAGCAGGTCCTGTGAATGGCTAGTGCAGTCACAGAGTAATGAATAGATTGATACCTGGCTGAGAGAGGTGGCTCACGCGTGTAATCCCAGCACTTTGGGAGGCTGAGGCGGACAGATCACCTGAGGTCAGGAGTTCGAGACCAGCCTGACCAACATGGTGAAACCCCATCTCTACTAAAAATGCAAAAATTAGCCAGGCATAGTGGTGGGTGCCTATAATCTCAGCTACTCGGGAGGCTGAGGCAAGAGAATCGCTTGAACCCAGGAGGTGGAGATTGCAGTGAGCCAAGTTCACGCCACTGCACTGCAGCCTGGGCAACAGAGCAAAACTGTCTCAAAAAAAAAAAAGAATAGGTTGATACCTGATAAGGATTGCTGGCACATCTTAGACACATGGACACACACATATTCATCAGTGTTCATGGCATTCATGGAAGGACAGCAATGCGGCTGACAGCACAAGGCCAGAGTAAGCGACTTCCGGGTCTATTTGTCCAGACAGGTGGTGCAGGGGGATAGAGAGTGACATGCATGTGCTCATGGAGAGCTCTCCCAAAGACAGGTATTTATGCTTTGTAATGTCTGTCTTCTGTGCCAGAACTCACAAGACAGCTGAGTGAAAAAGGAAGCAAAAGTGCCTCCTGGGTGTTTATTAATAAAGCAGGCTTCCCACGATGTATCACCCAAATCGCCACGAGTCTTATCTCACATTTACCTGTATTGCAGTAATGGTGCATCTGGCATCTGTAGCCTGCAGCAGTAACAGTTCTTGTGCCTTAGATTGTGTTTTTAATTTGTATGAAGATTCTCTTATTTATTCTTAGCCTGATTTCTTTTAGGTCCAATTTAGTTTCTTTCAGACCCAGAGGGGTTGTCAAGCTTCATGACTTGGTGTAGTTGTTTTTAAAATGTGAGCATATAATTAGGGTCTGTTAAATAAGGAAGTGCCTGCAAGGACTTGTCCTTAGAAAGGAGGCAGCATCTGGGGGACCCCAGGATATTGGGTTGGAAGGCCTAACTCTGCATTTGGCCATCTCCTTTCCTCAGACTTTCAGTGCAATGTCCCTCTGGGCATGGAGTCTGGCCGGATTGCTAATGAACAGATCAGTGCCTCATCTACCTATTCTGATGGGAGGTGGACCCCTCAACAAAGCCGGCTCCATGGTAATGACAATGGCTGGACCCCCAACTTGGATTCCAACAAGGAGTATCTTCAGGTACTTGAGCAGATAACAGAGAATGTGCAGAGTGTGTATGTATTGCTGGGGCAGGAGGTAGCTCCTCAAATACAGTGGACAGAGGACACAAAGAAAATAAACACAGCGTACTTGAGAACTCCATTCATTCATTCATTCATTCATTCATCCAAATAGATGTGTATGCCAAGCACTGGGTTACATGCTGGCATTGATGAGAGGTAGCCTGCCCCTGCCCTTGTAGAGATTACTGGGCCTGGGAGAAGTTGTTTGGCCAGGATGCTGTTTGCCCTATCACTATAGATATCCAAAGAACATTTTATAAGCAGTTCAGAGCATCCTCATTCTTGGCACAGGGAGGCATCAGAGACATGGGGGGCATTCTCCTAAGGGCAGGTTTGTTGAGGTGCTAGCTGCACATGACAGCTTCTCATGATCTTTGCTATTTGGAGAGAGCCCTGCCAGGAAGGTTTTGCACAGAGCTATCAGAAGAACACATGGGAAAATGTCACTACCAGGAATGGAACTCAAGACGCCCAGATGCTCAGCAGCATCTCTTTAGACCACTGGTTTCTTTATTCTGAATAAAACTCACAGTTCATGTTGAATAATCTTCCCATACTGCACACTGCTCCAATTCTCATCCCCTGGGAAGAAGTAAACAGGGGAAAGCAAGCTACTAGTTCCACACTAGAGCAGTGACTGCTTTTATGACACACGTAAGACAGCCTTGTGACCCACTGACAAGCCTGTCCTAGCTCTGATGTGACATGGTGACCTCTGCTCTAAGAAGGATGTTGCAAAGCAGACAACAGGAAAGGGAGAGAGACCACTTAGAAACTCTAGAGAGTCCACAAAGGTTCTAACAGCAAGCACTGGGGCCATTTGTCACTGTCTCTCCTCGGTGCCTCTCCAAAAATCTGTCTCCTCTCAGCCTGCAAAGCTTCCAGAAAGTTCTTTATAATTGGCATCCCATATCTTTGACCTTAATCATATACTTTCTCCTGTTGCCATCCACCTGTTTTCATACGTGTAGACAGCACTGTGTACTTACTTGAATGTTCAGTAATGCTGAGCACATTGTAGGTCACCAATAAGGGCTTACAGAATTGAATTTAGCCAGTGTGTGCTAGCTACATTTTGGTCACATGGAGATTACCATTAAGAAACACCATGGCCAGCAAAGGAATGACATCCAGCAATTTCCAAATGGGTTTGGCATTGTGGGAGCAGAAGTACCTTAAAATGTTGGTCATCCTCCTCATAGAGCAAAAGGTCAGGCCTTGGTGCATAAGCCTAATTGCTTGGGCAGACTCTACATGCCCTTTGACCCCTTAGTGACCTGAGCAACTAAATACACAATGGAGCGAGGGGGTGTGGGGAGGGGATGCTGCTATGAGTATGACTTTTGCAACTAGGGCATTATAAGTGAATTGGATTGAATTGGACAGGAGTGGAGAGGAGTAGATTCAGCCTTGTTTCTTTAAAGCAGCATCTGCTTCCACTGTCCAAAACAGGCCATGGTTCAGTAAGAAGGGATTATAGTACTAGATGTTCAATGGTTAAGAAAAACTGAGTACTGTCAATTCATATCTGCAAAAGAGAGGTCAAAGACAATCTAACTTTTCAAGGAGTCTGATTTAGTGTCAGATAATGTGAGTTTAATTGTCCAGTGGAATTGCAAACTGATACTAATTACAAGTATGTCTCAGTGAATCACAGATACAGGTTGGGAGTAAAGTCTAATGATGGTGTCCTTTAGAAATAAAACGAGACACTGCCCTGTGTTGGGAATGGTGGTCTCTTACTCCTGCCCTCTCTTCCCCAGGTGGACCTGCGCTTTTTAACCATGCTCACGGCCATTGCAACGCAGGGAGCGATTTCCAGGGAAACAAAGAATGGCTACTATGTCAAATCTTACAAGCTGGAAGTCAGCACTAATGGTGAGGACTGGATGGTGTACCGGCATGGCAAAAACCACAAGGTAAATCCATGATCCTACCTTAAAGGCACATTAAACCAGGGCTGTAGGAATGGGATCCGGAGAGCTTTAAAGCAACCCCCTACAGGAGAGAAGGCCTTGTGTAGTGAGGCTCAGATAATTAATGGAAGCAAGGGTCGCGCTGGCCCTGAAAATCTCTCTTAGGCTAAAGCAATTGGAAAACACCATTTCTCTGACAGCCTGGTTTCTGTTGCATCTTGCACAGCAGAGAGAGAGAGCTTGCAGAGTGTTCTCTGACTTCAAATGAAGGAGAAAATGTATCCCCAGTCCGCTTCTCCCCGCACAGGATTCACTGAACATTTATGGCCTGAGTCCCTTCCACATGCTGGCTTAACAATCACAAAACCACATGATACTACAGTTCAGGAGTTACCGAGCTCTGGAAATAAAAGGGCACAAATCCTGAGAGGAAATCACAATGTCCCGGAGAAGAAAGAGGACAATAAATAATGAGAAATTCAGTTTGTTGGGGATGGGCTCTGAAATGGCAATCATGCTTAGTGGTGAGGCATTGAATTCTCTCTGCTGGTGCCTCCCGAGTCTGCAGCGCCTGGAGGTGTGGTCTGTGTGGGTGATGCGGGGCTTTTGTTGTATACATATGGATGAATGTCTGGCACTCCACTTTCTTAAGACACATGACATTCTGGGTCTGCAGCTGGCACGGGCGATGTGCTGGCTATATGTGTATATACACAGCACACTCAGCACATGGGGGCTTATTGCAAACAGCCAGGGCCTTGTGAGAGTGGGATTGGGATGTCTGTGATGGGAGCACAGGGCACGGTGCTCCCTGCAGATTAGGAGCTGGTGCAGAGGTCTGGAAGGAGAGCGTGATGTCCAGGGGATTCCCAGAGGCTGATTCTCCTTCCCTAAAAGGGAGGTGGGGAGGGAGGAAGAGGGTCTCTCCTGCAGCGTTACAGTTCCACCAGGCCCTGGTCTGCCAGGGTGTGATTTATCAAAATGGGGCACATGTGGCCAAGCCTGGGGAGGCCACAGATCTTTTCCATAGAGAATCTTCCTTGGCTTCTGTCACTGCCCCAAGGCAGCTTGCTCTGGCTGGTGCAGCTGGAAACCTGAGACCCAGAAAATCCTGAACTATAATGTTGACAGTTTCACTTGGGAAATGGGGAAAGGAGTAGATTTTTTTTTTTAAATTGAAATCGCCATAGTAATGGGGTACCACTCATCTGAAAACCATGGCTTCTGGATATTACCAGGTATCTCACACACACGCATACAACTGCCCAATTTCCCCGATAAAGAAAGTGAGGTACTTAGCAAGTAAAAGATGTGCCGGGCCAGGTCTGGTTTCCCACTGACTTGGTTTCAGGAAGACTTGCCAAGTGTCAGTTGAGAATGGCCAGCCTGAATTGGCACTGGGTGCCAGGAGCTTGGGGGCTGAAACTTGGTTCCACCCCACCCTTTTCATTTATAAACTGATCTCGGAAGCTCAGCTAGAAGATGAGGGCCGGAAGCCGGGCAGGAGTGGTCCCTGGGGAGAGGCGCAAGGCTCACCTGACAGTCTCCCAGTCCAGGCGGAATGACTAAGCAGCCAGGCCGGAGGGATACTGTAGCATAAGCTGTTTTAAAAGCATGCAGATGGACCAGGATGCTATTTAAAACATCATTTGTAGGAAATCTGCTTTTGGAAAGACCTTAGCACTGCACATTTTCATAAAATGCTGTCCTCCCTGGCTTTATCCCTGGTATTCATTCTTCAGGGAAGATATTCCTGAAAATTGAATTTAGCTTTGTGGTCTTCAGAATTATTTTTCTCAGCTTTTTCATAGTGGATACATTCTCTCTCTTTTGCCTCCTCTTTCCCCACTTGGCTAGATTTCTTTCCCCAAGAGCCAAGGGGTAACTTGAGAGTTTTTTTGTTTTTGTTTTTGTTTTATTGAATTAGTCCTGCCCAAATAAACGGAGTTGGGGCAGAGGAAAGGCCTTTTCTCTTCCCCTTTAGAAATTCATCCTCTGTGTACTTAGAAGGAGGCAGGAAAATGGAGAGCCTGCCAATTAGGCATTGCCCCACTCTCCGAGCTCCCTCGCCCCACTGCGGGTGTGGTGGGTGCCCAGGGGGCTTTCCTTGTCTCTCCTGCAAGGATGGTCTCAACTGCCCCTTCGTTAGCAATCTCTCGCTCAGGTATCTATATTTAATGTGCAGATTCCGCCCCATTCACAGTGCGTCAGTGCAGCTCTCTGGGCTGTTGAGGTTGAAATAGTTGAGTGAACTGTGCCAAATAGATTTGTCAAGTCTGCCGCAGTTTGATTTGATGCCATGGGGGGAGGCGAGGGGTGGGGAGGGGACTCGGGGGCAGCGGAGGAAGAGGCTTCATCCACGCCGAGTGCCACCACTGAGTTTCTTTGTAGCCGCTGGATGGTGGACACTGTGCCAAGCTAACTGGTGCTAAGTGGTGGGCTTGAAAGTGAAATTCAGACAACAGGACTTAGCAGAAAAGCAAAGCAGAGATGAAGGCAGCCGCCTGCTCTGCTGGGCAGTGAAGAGGGAAGGTTTGCAAATGCCTTTCCAGTGTGCAGGGAGGGAAGAAGGGATTGTGACATTTGGGACGGAAATGTGGGAACTCGATTTCAACTCCCTGGTCACTGTCAACACCAATGCAGCACATCAAAGACCGGGGAATTCGGGAAGTCAGAGAAAAACAAGATTAATGAGCGTTCAAGGTAGTGGGGGATGGCTACACGATGTCTTGGCAAAAGACTGTTTACAGTGTGGACCCACGCTGGGCTGGGGCAAGGCCTAGGCCTCTGAAAGAATGCCTTCCTTCTTGCTGCCAGGGAGTGGGGAAGACTAAGGAACTCTTTTCCAGCCTCCCCTAGTCCAGGAGCAGCCTTTTCTTGGTCTCTTCCTATCTAACAGGTTATCATGAAGTTACCTCTGAGAAAGTGGCCGGTCACACTGTTGCTGGGGCACTGCAAGTCTCCTGGCAAAATGCAGCCTGGCTACACAGCCCACATACACAGCACATCCCAAATTTTTATCCAATTCCACATGCCATAAATATGGAACCTATGATTCTCACATAGGGTGGGCCTGCCTGATGTATATTTATGGCATAACCACAAGGCAGAGAGCTCATCTGCCTGATGGAACCCATATCCAACCCACATGCTCCCTTAGATTATACAAATTGCTTTGCATACATTTCTTCAGAAACCACAAGCAGAAACTACTGCTTTTGGTTTCCCCAGCTATGTTAGTAACACTGCAGATGTAGACATGGCATTGTTAATATAACAGTAGAAGTTTCATGTATGTGTACATAATTACAGGCACAATTATGTACATACATACCAAGAGGGGCACATGGAGAGTGATGGGAAGAGCTCAGAAGCACAAGATCGTGGTCAAGGTCCTGCTCTCCTGAGATGCTGCTTCCATGAGTCTGACCTGGGGGATAGACTGTGCCTGAGGAATGGAACCACAGCTGGTGACAGGACAGGGAAGAGAGAATATTGCCCTTATTTGTCTAGGCAAAATCCCTTATCTTCAGTTCCTCCTCATTTGGGACACACTGGCATCTCCCTTGTTGATCTAGCTCTGGTACTTAGTCACAGTGTTTGTGGGCTATTCTGATGTATTTGGGAGAAATATGGGCTAAAAGAGAAAGTCTGTGGGGTGTCAAATACATGCAATTGGCCAGACTGAGGCTGGATGGGTGAAGATAGAGATGAGGTAGGACTTGGGTCCAAGAGTTTTCAGAATTACCCCATGAGGAGTGGAAGGAATGCAATGAGCTCATCACATTAATGTAAGGATGACCTCCAAGGGACTCAGAAAATCCTCAGGCACCAGCTTAGTCACTAGAGAGTTTCACAGTGTTTCACAACTGTGGAATTGGAGCTCTGAGACACTAAGTGCCTTGCTGCAGGGACTGGGAAGCTGTGGAGCCTCCATGGACGGTGCCTGGTCACCAGACCTGGATGTCTAGGCTGGCGCTCTCCACGATCTGACCTAGGCCTTACTCTTCACCTTGCATCCAGAGGGAAATTGGCTTCCTAAATGTTCAGTCTAAGGGCTGAGAGGTGCCCATTGTCCCGGAAAGCCTCCCCTCCAGTGAAGTTCTGCATGTAGCATGAGCTCGTACACTGCTTAACCCACTAGGCTCATTGTTGTGGAGCTGGGCCCCACCACAGAATCATGAGGATGGAGAGTTGAAAGGAGTTGCCATTTGTTTGATTTGGCCACATCCCTTCAAAACAAACAAACACTCCACTTCAAAAATCCCCTGTCCTGTATTTATTTTCTAAATTAAAACAAATCATTTTTAAATCAGAGACTTGGGAGAAGAGAAAGAGTGGCGTCAGAAAACCAAACCCCCAAATCAGTTGGCTAACAGCTAGAAGCATGTGACATCTATTTTCAGACCTTCTTAAAACAGGGCGCTGAGTGACCTTGGAAATGTCTCTTAGTGGCTCCACGCCTCAGTGTTTCCACCCAGTCCAAATGGAATGGCGCAGCAGCTGCTACCAGCAACGAACCTTGAGATCTGTAGATGGAAGGCTCTCCGCGGATATAATTAATGTATAGACCCACAAAGCTCTTCTTGAGCAGAAGCAAGTTATCAATTTAGAAAGTAAGAAGGCCCCATGGGATATTTATGGGCCTCTTTTAAAATCATAGGCCTAGAATGGACCACGATAAGTCATCCAGACCTCTCCCTGGACCTGATGGAGCCTGCGTTGAGCTGCCTCAGATAAATGTTATCTTTCCTAGCCTCATTGTTCTGTTAGGGGTGCAGTTATGGCTCCACTTGATCATCTGAATTTTCAAAAAAAAAAAATTTTTTTTAAACCTCCTGGCAGATGATGAGCTTCCCCTTATTCCTTTTGTGGTAGTAATTTTGTTTGTTGTATGTGAGCTTAGGACAGTGCCTCCCACTGTGATGGACACCAGCCTTCAGAAGTCATGGATACAACGGCATCATCTAACCATGGTTGTGTGTGCTCTGAGGGGGGCTGAT